CATTCATTCTTTTTCTCAAAAAATGCAGAGAGAACACTTCACATATATGAATCCCGGAGATTGCAACAGAGGAATCTGCTTCAGAAACCATCCACTCTCGTGCAAGAAGACAGGCATGGGAAGAGGGATACTTCCAGGGGAGAAGAGGGAGAGAGGAAGTGGGAGATCATGGGTACTGATTTGGAGTTCTGCTCAAACAGAAGGATCTCCATTAGAGTGTGAGGTGGAAAATGACTTGGAGAGGCTGGTGGGGACAGGAAGGCCATGAAAATAGAGAAGCAACATGCATTGTTTCATTTGCATATGTGAGAGAGTGGTCATTCAAAACAGAATTGACCTTTATATTAAAACTAGAGGACCAATGCACAAAATTCATGCAAGAGTAGGCCTTTCTTCCCCAGCTGCCGGCACCGGCTTACCTCTGGCACCCAGGACCCGGGCTTCCCTCGCAGCCCCGGCTTTGTCCGGAAGGTCGTCTGGAAGGACATTTGGAAGGATGTCCCATCTAATTAGCACATTATGCTTTTATTATTATAGATTCAGCAGTAGACAATCATCAAAGGATCCCAATATTTGGGGGTAAAAGTTTGATAATAGGATATTTCATAATCTCAGAGTATCTCCCCACATTACTTACTAATTGCAAAGGGGGGGGGGACGAAATTTATAGTGGACAAATCTTATTGATACCACCTTAATAAGGCAATCAAAATTAACATAACTAATATATGCACCTTCCAATAATGATGCATGTCTGATGTCAAGGAAATTTTTATTGGACATGTAAGCCATGATTTTATATCAGTGAATCAAATTCAATGGATTGATGTTGAATTTAAATATTTTTGTGAAGTAAAAAGCAGCTTGTAATTTTTAAACCTCTACTTGATGTTTTAACATAACCTTTCTAGGTAAGGTACTTGCCCAATTGCTTGTCAGAAACCCTCTCTGCCTTACATGCCATATATATATATACATTTTGCATGAAGAGAGAATGAGGTGAGGAGGAATGGGAAGTAAGGGGTAGTTTGCTAAAAGAAGATATTCTGGATTTAGTAGCAGATCTCTCAGTTTTGCTTAGAATATCTAGAAAGGAGTATAGGTGTTGAGGCACAATTATTACCCTCACCTGTTATGGAACTTGTGCCACTTGGTGTTGAGCATGAGGACCACCCTGTCTCAAGATACTTTCCTCTAGCAATGCAGCCTCCCAGCATCCCAGCATCCTAGCATCGTTTGTTGAACAGAGAAATATAATGAGGACTGTTGGGGTTAAACATGAAGAAGGAAAAAGAACGTTGCCTTTGTGGTGCTTATGAGCCCTTGATAGAAAATAGATCAAGTACCTGCCATTCAAAAACTTACAACTCAAGACTTCTCTGCTTGCATCGAAGCTAAAATCCTATCACTAGAAAACATTTCTGAGTTTAGAGATCTTTTCAATCTTTCACATAAGTTTTTCTAATAGACTAGCATGGGGATAAAATCGAGTTCTGATCATCCCCCCAGAATGTTCCATGTAGCTCTTGTGTAGCTTAAGTTAGCCACTAGAGAACACAGTTCCCTGAGAGGCTGCATAACATAAGGGCGTTGGATTAAACAAGTTCCAACAGTAACCCTTCAGGAATATCAGTACACACACACACACACACACACACACACACACACTTTAAGAAAGGCTTGTCTTTAATCCATCAAGGTTAACTGTAATGTGCAATAAATTGTAAACAATTTTACTGCATTTTATTCCAGCTTGAAAGTTCTATGATTATATTTTATACGCCTTTCTTGTTTATAATTGTATGTCTATGGCAATTCACTTATTATTTCCTAGGGGGTATCACTTTCCCTGACCTAGTGTGTTTTAAGGGAGGCTGAAATATTACACTTTAAAGACAAACACAATCTGAGCAATTGAACACCAGGGGCAGCTGCTGTGCAGGTGCTGGTTTGGGGAGTTCTGAGACCCAGGCCTCTTGAAGGGGGGTGCACATACATTGAGCTGAGACCCCCCAGAGGATGAAGACTTGATTCATTATCAGATCAATAATCTGCAAACTGTGAATAAGCAGGGAATCGAGTCTGTTGGCTTTTTAGTCCATTGTGGAAACAAGGGTCATTATGTGGACTCCAAGTGTGTTCTGGTCCAGTGAGTCAATAATTCCCATCATATCATGGAAAATGCATTGCCCCTATAGGCTGTGGAATGCCTGGGGAATGTTCTTCAGTAATAAGGCCTTATGCATAGTAGATTATGCATTAACTTGAAGTCTGTGCTGGGACCTAACTGGTAAATAATACACAGTCAGTTACATTATACCTGCTAGTGCCTAACCGTATGCTCTGGAGAAACAGAGAAGGCTTTGCAAGCATTTCAAGTAGACTCAGGCAGGGGAGAAGTACAAAGAGTCACTCCGGTCAAAGATCCATGTGGCATTTACTGATGTGAATGTTTCTAGACTCTTATTGGAGGAAAGGGGAAAGAAAGAAGAGATGGAGGCATGAAACAAGGGAAGAGGAAGGTAGGAAGGAAGGATGGAGAGAGGGAGAAAAAGAAACCTGATAGTGCACATGTGCGTGTGTGTGTGCGTGTGTGTGTAGTTGAGTTCAAGGTTGGAATCAACATCTAAAATGGAAAATTTAGCTATAATACTTAATTGGGTTACTAATAATAGCTTGAGCAGCAGTCTTCAAACAATAAAGAGAAGAATTTTTGTTAAGATATTGACTCTAGTGAGTGTAAATATGAATAGAGTTAGAACTGGGGCAGGGAGCAATCATACAGACATAAGAGAAATCACACATTTCATAACAGAAAGTATTCTAGGGCAGTTGTAAACACCTCTGGTATTGCCCAAAACAAACAAACAAACAAACAAACCAAAAACCTGGAAATGCCCACAATGTTTTCTTAATAATAACTAACATTTGCAAAGCCCCTTATAATTTACGAGGCATTTTACAGCAATTACCACAGTTAATTCCCACAATAACCCTGTGAGTTTAAATATTAGACTTCCTAGTTCACAGCTGAGGGGACTGCGGCCCAGGGAAGTTAAGTGGCTTTTGCCAAGGCCACTCAGGAGTCAGCCATAAAACCAGAACCAAAGCCAGACCTTGTGACTATGGATTGCCCCGCTATCTCAGCCTCTCTGCCTTCATATCCATGGATCCCTCTTCAAACAGTTATTTCTGGAAGGTAGAGATCAATTACCTGGAGGACAGAGACCTGCCAGCCACAAGTCCATGGGCACCCAAAGCTATTCTTACAACCAACACAGAACTTGGGCTTCAAAGTCCAGAATTTCAATATATATGTATTTTTAAAGGCAAAAATACATGTTGCTTCCCCCTACACACATATGCAATTCCTGTTAGTATTTCTAATTTGTATATAATAAAACTTTGCTACCATAATTAAAATTAAAAATTAAAACTTCATGAGTTGCTGAGCGTCAGGTCATAAAATGTGACTGCTTGTGGACATTCATTCTGAGTAGCATAAGATGGGGCTGAAGGTAGTGCAGGTGGACGGTTGGGATTGTTGCAACATCCTGGTGGAAGGGATGGGCCACATGCTGTGAGGGAAATGGTGATGAGCAGGTAACTATTCTGCTCTTGAAGGATCTTGCACCCTATTGAGAAACACACCTGCACACGCAGAACAAGGAGAAAACACAGGTGGGGAGAGTGAGCAAGTGTGTGCTCTGTTTAGGGATCAGGGAGTGAGCCAGGTGATTAACCAAAGGGTTCACCTTGGAAGGCAGTGGAAAAGGAACCTGGAGACAGAGAAAGATGGAAACCTGAGAGGTTGGATTTTATACTGAGAACATTGAAGTATCGTGGTGAGTGGCAGAGTGGGCAGGGGCATAGTAAAATGTATTTAGGGGAGGCAAATGTGGGAACATAGGGAATCAATCCGACAGGAAATGTTGGAGAGCGGAGAGACCTGTTACAAAGATCTGGTAGTATTTTGAGGTAAAAGAGTATTAACATAGAAATACAAGTAAAAGGCAATTACTATCATTACTAGAGGCCCGATGCACAAAATTTGTGAAAGGGGTTTGGCCCTCGCAGCCCTGGCCAGCCGGCCCTCACAGCCCTGGCTGGCCTTTGCAGCCCCTCGCAGCCCCGACTTCATCCAGAAGGTCATCCAGACGGTCTTCTGGAAGGTCATTCTGCTGTTCGGTCTAATTAGCATGTTAGCTCTTTATTATATAGTATTATTAATGCTACGATATTGATAAGAAGTATCCCAGAACTCTTTCTGAATTGCCTTGAGTTGCTTTCCTCAAGATGGGTTTTGAGGAATACTGTGCCTCTGGATATCAACAGGTGTTCAAAAAATAAGCTGTGATCAAAATGTATGGAAGTGAAGGGGTTAGTAATAGCCACCTTTCACGGCTATGGTGAAGGGGAAATGAGAAAGTATATGAAAAGGCCTGGTACACAGAACACATTCCACAAAAACTAGTCCCTTTCTTCCAACACGATTTCCATTTATTGTAATAATACCCCCCATATCTATGCCTATATGAACCCATATCAATATCATCTAATATATAGGTGTGTATGTATATGTGCATACTTATGTATGTATGTGTATATGGGTGTTCTCACTTAGGCACATTCATACCCACATATTTAATCATACTTATATGAACATGCACATGTGTCACCCAGGAATACCTTCAATGTAGGATTAAACCTAAGGAGGTATGAAATACCCACATACACCAACTTCAGTCCCTATGGCACTCTATCGAAGGCCTTGCCTAAGAGATGTGTGAAAGCTGATGCTAACCCTGTGTTCTGCTTGGTAACAGTACCCATGGGTGCCACAGATGTGTCCTAGTGCCATCTAGTGGGGAATCCCATTTTCTACCCCCTGGTGCCTCCTTGTGCTGACTCCAGCCATTGCCCCACTCACCATTTTACAGGCTGCTTCCATCACCCTAAGAAACAGCAGGGCTAAATGAGTTCCTCTGTGTTTCTCAGGCTTTTTCCTGTTTTCCTTCTGGGTGTTCCTGGACATGAGTACATCTCATTGAAATATTTCCACCTCTACCTACAGACAAAGGAAAGGCTCAGAGCACCTCAGTCCACTGTGCCAACAGGACGTGAATGACTGTGAGTACATAAATCATTTCTAAGTCCATGTCTTCAGGATCTAGAAGGAAAATTCTATATTGTATAATAAAAGCATTTTGCGTTCTCTAAATTTAGGAATACTTTATATATGTATAATTCTTTCTTTAGCTCAATGAGAACTTTGGCTCACAAAGAGATGCTACGGGCCAATCGTTTCAAGGAGATGAGATGGTTTGGGTCTTGGTTTGTCTGTGAAGAAAGCCATGTTGGTTATAGAAACTGCTACACATCGATTAACCCATGGAATTCAATCCTAATTTTCTTTAGCTAGTGGATTTAATGCATCAAAAAGACTAAGAGCAGTGGAGAAAAACCAGGTCATTAGAGCTGTGTCTATGTGGCCAATGCACTTTGAAAGTTCTTTAACCCATTCAAAATCTTAAAGGTCACTGAGAAACATGGTAGTGGATGAAATGAAGACCTAAATGCATAAGTTCAAATCTTACTGGTTGGTAAATTAGGCCAAATAACTAGTAAATAGTATTAAAAATCAGTTGAATCACTATCAGTATTCTACTGAAGTGATCAGTTAAATCAATTGTCATGTTCTGACTGTCCATCTGACAACAAACTATGTATAAGCTGGGGCGGAGTGGGAATGCCAGTCTGGGTCCTCTCTTGTTCCTCCCTTTGCCCATGTTCTCTGCCCAGGGCCCTGAGACTTTGGGATTGGCCTGATTGATTTCCCCCTGCTTCATGTCAGTTAGACACTGCTAGTGCTGAGTACGTTATCTTTATGTTCCATAAATGTGGTAGAGCCTTCCGCCTATGAGTTCCCCACCTCCAGGATAAAAAGAAAGGTGAAAGCAGAGAAAGGGTAAATATGAATGATAGAGAAAGACAATATGAGGTTTACTGCTGGTATGGATTTGACCCGAGCTTCCTACTACTAAGTCAATGTCAGATCTTATGGAAGTAGACAGGAATTCAGACCAGAGGTAAGTAGGTTGTTCTACTCTCTTTGTGTACGTAATGAAAATTGTATGAATTTACTCAGCCTGCCTCACATCGTGAGAACATACCTCATGTGAAAGGGTTGGGTTTGTTTTGGCAAAGGTTGAATGCCCCAGTTTGCCTTCCTGCTCCTTTGTTTAAGGGACAAGTGACGCTCATGCGACCTATCTTGCCAGAAATCAGCATCTCAGCCTCTGGGCTGGGGAGATAGAGAAGGAGGAAATGAAAGCGCCACATTTTTATTATGCTTGAAGTTACTTATTTGCAAAGTGGTTCTTCATCCACTTACTCGATCTGTTCCTCTCCATAGCTTCTCAGTTCTGCTGTCTTTGTTGCAAGGGTGCATTTTGTATGTAATATTTCTTGCCACTGTTTAGGAATCATTGTGACTACATTGCTCTTTATCGATAATTTCATGTAGCACAATCCATCACCGTGTTGGATGTTGGGGCAGGGAGAAGGGCATTACTTTGTCTTTCACTGGGTGTGCAGACAGCTCTCTTGTATCGATTGCTTGGCTCACATGTTCGTTAGATGATGATTTGCACTTTTCCTGTATTGTGTTTATCCAGATTGTGTTTCAGATGTGTCTGCAACATATCATCATGAACAACAAACATTTATCGAACACTTGTGGGCTGTGGATCAGGCTCCAGGCTAGGTCTTTGGGATAATAAGAGGAATTTAATGTGATTCCTACCCTGGAGAATTTTATTATCCATTGGACTATGTTTGTTTTATGATTTTTAAAAAAAGATACCTAACAGCTTATGCTGAGTGATTGCTGCAAGCAATAAATTCTCTTGGAGTTCAGACATGGGAGTAATGGGTGAGGGCTGGGACTGGTCAGGGAAGGCTTCATGAAATGCGAGTAGCTTCTTAAAGGATGGGAAGGATATTTTTATGGGATACTGCATATAGAGTTTCTGAATACCATTGTGCCAGATTTTTTAAAAATGTAATGCCTATATCTTTAAACTGCAATTGCCTCATTAATTATTTATGAGCTAAGACAGAGAATCAATATTCACCTGCTTTCCACAGTGTTTTTTTTGCAGAGTTCTATTGTTAACAGCCTTGCACACCTCGTCATACAGGGCAAGAAAAAGCCAGGCAGTCTGTTCACTTTCTCATTAAGACTTCCCTGGTCTAGTTGCCAACTTTTCAGATTGTCTTTTGCTTTGTATAGAATCTTTCTCCCACTGGAAACTCCAATAAGAAAAAAAAAAGTATATTCCATGACTTCTTAAAGCAAAGTGGGTTTCAAGGTAAGAGAAGAGGGAAGAAAAAAATGTGACTTTCTTGTCAAAGTTGCCTCACTGAATCTTCAGGAGAATGCAGGCTTGACCCTGGAGAGGATATTCATTACCCAAGGGAAATATCCATTTATGAGAGGTTCCAGGAGTTTCCATTCTAAGAGAGAGATGTTCAAACATTTTTGAAGAATGAAAACTTTGCTTATTACTTTTGCAGGACTCTATTGGTCCAGGTAGATACTTACCTCAGCTTATTGACAGAAAGGTTGGCAGGAAGACTGTCATGGCCAGCAGTGTTCATATTCTAGGGACTAAGCCCTGTGAGTTTCATAATACTCGTGCTTTTTCCAGAACTCTCTCTCTCTCTCTCTCTCTCTCTCTCTCTCTCTCTCTTTCTCTTTCTCTTATGTTATTTTTTTAATCTCTCTGTTTTGTCATTTATTTTGGCTTTGGTGGAATGAATGGCAAAGAGGAAATGAAATTTGCATTTTCTTCCTTTTGGTTCTTCATGTAGTGTATATTTAGGGGTACCTATTACACATAGAGCATAGAGCATGCCACAGATCTCAGATTACAATCTACTTTAAAAAAAAAACAGGTTAAAAGTGGTGAATATTTACACACTTTAAGTTAAATGGGTCAAAAATAAAAATAAAAGGATACATTTGGTTTTTATACCTACAAATTTCAATTTTCTTGATCCTACCAATTTAAATTTTCCAATGAAAGGCAATTAAATCTTTTTTCTTTTCGAATAGTTTCTTAGGTGTAAGTTGGTCAAACTTGGACAATATTTAGTGGATTTGAAGTATAAATGCTCAATCAGGGATATTACCCTTTCTCAAGAAGCACCTCTATGTTCCTTCCCAAGATGGTTGGATGCATGGCATGCCCTCTGGTGGTAAGGCAGGCTGCCCTGTGTGCTGTTTTCCCTGCTGTCCACCAGAGAGAGGCTGGGGTGGTCTGGTTCCTAAACAATTTGTACTGTTATCTTCCACATGGCTAATCTCACCTGCGGTTGTTGCTGGTGTGGGTATTATGCTGTTGCTCACACCATCAATATACATAGTCATCAAATAGTATGTCTGTGGAGAAGTCCTGCATTTGTTATCCTTCCCTTCTGACTCAGGATTTCAGGGGCTCAGCACCTCCGTGAGTCCACAGAGAATTCAAGTGAATTTAAGAGACCCCTACATACAATACATGCTTCATGTGGAATCAGAGCTCTTGGTCTCATACTTTTCTAAGATTTCCTCCTAACCATATGGGCTACAGAGAGGCAGAGTAGCAGTGTGGGGGTTCCAGAAAACCTAGTCTAGTGTTTCAGTCAAGTAACTCCCACCTTTGGTCTGGGTAAGTCCCAAGAAAGTCCAGGCCTTTCAGATTCTCAGAGAACCTGACTCTATTCCTACCCTGGGGGCATCCACACAAAATCCTTCTCCTCTTCCTTGTCTGGGAATGCTTTCTCCTCAACTTCCCTGGTGGGGACTCCCCTATTGTCTCTATTCTGTGACAATGCTGTGAGTTAGGGTAAAATTCTGCCATTGACTTTGCCAAGCTTGGTGGCTTCAGATTTGATAAGGGGAGCTTTTGGAATTTAGAAAACGCTTTTGCTTTTGACCACACCTGGCTTTCCAAACCTTTCTGTACTATGGACTCGAAACCCAATTTTTCCTGTTTTTCTTTTAATCCTACTTTAAAGATCTGAATCATCCCCAAGCAATGGATGCCTCTAACCAGAGAGGGGGAGTGCATAAAAATACATACAAATATAGTATATTAGCCACTTTACAATGTCTGCTTAAAACTGTAAGGGGCCAGACTCTGAATAGTTTCTAGAGTGCAATTGTAGGAGGAGTCCAAAAGTTCGACCACAGTGGGTTGGATCAATCCGGGATGGCTTCTCGGGCAGTGGGGCTTCATCTGGCTCTCAAGGATGGAAGAATTAAGGTGGTTGTGAAGAATAGGGAATAGATCCACAATTACAATTAAAATAATCTTCCTCCATACTCCCAGAGCTGTGTATTTTAACTCACTCACAGCTCTCAGAGCACAGTTATTACTGTCTCCAACTTACTCATGGCTGTGTATTCCTGTAACACTATAAACTCCTTGAGCACAGGGACTGAAACTTTCTGTATTTGGCCCAGCCAGTGTGACTCAGTGGTTGAATGCTGACCTATGAACTAGGAGGTCATAGTTCGATTCCTAGTCAGGTACATGCCCAAGTTGTGGGCTCGATCCCCAGTGTGAGGCATGCAGGAGGCAGCCAATCAGTGATTCTCATTGATGTTTCTATCTCTCTATCCCTCTCCCTTCCTCTCTGAAATCGATAAAATGAATAAATAAACTTTCTGTAATTGTATCTCTAATATCACTTAGCCCTGTGCTTGTATACATGAGACCTTCATGCATATTTAAAATTTAAGAACATGTTAAAAACAGAATTTTTAAATTATTTTACCTTAGCTCTCCCTTTTAAAACTGCTGTATTACTTTATCTCCTGTATTAAAGAAAAATAATTTCAAAAAGGATATCTGAATAGAGATTTTATATTCTTCAAAAGCTGGTTACTCAGATACTCTTTTATCTTCTTGATATCCCACCATCTTATCTATGGGATTTCCATATGATGGTTGCCCCAAGGTGTCATTTTTTATTGTGGTAAACTGTACATAATATGAAAATGACCATTTTAACCATTTTTAGTGTACACATGAGTGGCTTTAAGTACTTTCACATTGTTTTGCAGCCATCACCATGATC